GCGGGGCGCGGGCAGGTGCGCGGAGCCGGGGCCGGTGGCAAGTGCGGCGGCGGGGGCCGAGCCAGGAATGAGTCAAAGCGCCCTGTCTGGGCAGGAAATATTTTGGTCGTACATCCACTGGAGTGACAGCGCATTCCTTGGTGGGGGAAAACACTCCTTAGGATGAGGGTTTGGGGTGGTTTTTTTTTCTCTTTTTTTTTTCTTTATTTTTATTTTTAGCCCAGGGATCGCTGACTTGTTTCATTTCGTGTTGCAAAGGATTAAGCAGCGCTTGGTAACGAGGGGATGGAGAAGGGAAAAAGGGGCGAAGTGCGGGGAAGGGAAGTGTTTGTCGCCGCCCCAGCTCTGCTGTCGCCGCGGCCGCGCACAGCCCGGGCAGGGTGACTCCTTACACCCGGGAGCGGGGGGGGCAGGACATAAACACCCTGCGCTGCCTCCCCCCCTTGGCTTTCCCAAAATGTAACGTTGCCAGCGCAGCGGCTTTCCATCAGCTGCTGGAGCAAGACCTGGAAAGGCTGAGGATGCGGGGGGATGAGGATGCGGGGGGATGAAGATGCGGGGGGATGAAGATGCGGGGGGATGAAGATGCGGGGGGATGAGGATGCAGGGGATGAGGATGCAGGGGATGAGGATGCAGGGGGCTGAGGATGCAGGGGCTGAGGATGCAGTTGGACCTGTCTCTCCGGGAAGGGGTGGCCGAGCCCCTCTCCCAGCAGCAGAGCTTTGGCCGCGTCGCCCCCATCGCGGAATAAAAGCACTTTGTTGGCCGCGCTGATCGCTGGCGGCACAGGGAGGGTACAGCCCGGGCAGGGTGACTCCTTACACCCGGGAGCGGGGGGGGCAGGACATAAACACCCTGCGCTGCCTCCCCCCCTTGGCTTTCCCAAAATGTAACGTTGCCAGCGCAGCGGCTTTCCATCAGCTGCTGGAGCAAGACCTGGAAAGGCTGAGGATGCGGGGGGATGAGGATGCGGGGGGATGAGGATGCGGGGGGATGAAGATGCGGGGGGATGAAGATGCGGGGGGATGAGGATGCAGGGGATGAGGATGCAGGGGATGAAGATGCAGGGGGATGAGGATGCAGGGGCTGAGGATGCAGGGGATGAGGATGCAGTTGGACCTGTCTCTCCGGGAAGGGGTGGCCGAGCCCCTCTCCCAGCAGCAGAGCTTTGGCCGCGTCGCCCCCATCGCGGAATAAAAGCACTTTGTTGGCCGCGCTGATCGCTGGCGGCACAGGGAGGGTTTGGGTGGGCGCTGTGTTTTACCCTCCTGCCTTAGTGCCGACTTATTGGGGTTTTTTTTAAATTAATTGGGGGTTTTTGTTCCTTTAGTCTTGTTGCACGATGTGGCGACCGAACTGTGAAAAAATAATAGTTGCATCGAAACTGATAGGGTGCCTTGTCTCTGCTGGCAGAGATTGCATTCGCTGCTGTATCATTATACATCACCCTAATTACGGTTTTATATTTTCAACCACAATTTAAAGTAATGAAATAAGGAGCCAAAGTTCCATCTCATGGTTCGAGCTGGTGAGACGGGTTATTTTTGTGGTTACCCAGGCAATGGGGGTTTTCAAGTTGCTGTTCCATTCAGTAGTGTGTGGTCAGTAATGCAAAATGAGACCCACTGTCGGACGAGCTTTGTCTTCCTAAAATTATTCCTTTTTTAGATGCATATTGTACTGGCAGTCACCCCCGGCTGGCTCAGGAGCGGGTCTCGGGCAGGATGTATCGTGCTCCACGTTATGCTCGAGAAGTGCCACTTCCAGATTTCACAACAGGGTTTCTGGCTGCTTTATGCAGTGACACAGAAAAAGATTTCACCTGAAAAAAACATAGCTTAAAACCAGTCCGTTGGTTTATGCTTGGCATTAGAGCAAACTTCTTAAAAAAAATAAAAAATGCTTTCCTCTTTCTAGTGTTTGGAAAAATCAAGCGATAGGACTCTTGCAGCTTCCCTTGTGCTGTTTCATTTTGAAAGAGTGAAATAAAGTAATAGCTGAAACTATAAGAAGTTTGTTTGGTTTTTAGCATCGCATTTTCTTTCTAAAAAGAAAGAATGGTTTGGAGAGTTTTGACTTCTGAGAGACGGTGCGTTTAAAAAGACAACAACAGATGCAATTCGCTGGGAAAGGTTATTATTTTTAAGCAGAGAGCAGGCTGATTGGCGAGGTTAGGAAAGCATTGAGCATCTCTTAATTTGTTGGGACTAATATTGGACTGCTCTTTAAAGCACATGGCCTTCTTGATCTCTTCAATTTGTGCATTATTCACATATTTTCATTAATTTAGAGAAAGTCATCGCTGAATAATAAATCCATCATTGGGTAATAAATCCAGTGTTTACAAGGTATTTAATCGAGAAGAAATACACCAGCTCAGCTTTTAAATAAGCCAACTGTAATCTAGTAAAATCTGTCTAGAAGTCTGCAAAAGAATAAAGCCATTTTTAATAATTAATCATAGAAACCTTGTATGTTGTTAACTTGAGGGCAAACAAATTATTTCAGTGTATTACCCCATGACGATGTGCAGCCTGAACTGCATCTACTCATTTGTCGGTAATTTCACACCGAAGTTTTTAGTGCAGTCAAGATATAGTAGATATGTTGCTTGTCTGCTGGTTTTTTGTCTGGTTTTGAATTTAGAAATTCCTTCCCTTTAACAAAAAACCCGCAGCCTCCTTTCCAAACAGACAGTGGTTTTAATTATTTTTCCCGAGCGCGGTGAGAAAACAGTTTCTAGGAGAACACTTAAATCTTTCTCAAGTGTTGCATTTCCCCCCCAAGTCTGCAATATTTTGTTACTGAGCACATTTCCTCGGATGTATTTCCAAAAAGCAGGCTGTCTCTGGGTGGGGTTGGATCCGAGCGGGCTGGGAGCTGAGGAGGGCTCTGTTTTGGGGAGGTGTAGGTGGGAGAAGTTGGAGCTTTGGCTGCGCGTGTTGGTGTGTGTGCAAACACAGCTGTGCACAGACACGGCCACGGAGCGCTCTGCTCCAGGGCACGGGGTGTTTGTAACATTCACATTTGCGGTGTTATCTTCTCCTGGTCTTATTTCTTGCCGTTATTGTTTCTGAGACGTTTCTCAACATTTTTGCGTGAAACTTAAAAGTGAGGATTTTTAATAATAGTCAGATTAACCGGTGTACTTGTGTGCAAACAGCAGTGGTAGATAAGGTACTAACACAATATTAGAGGGAAAAAAAAGATCTCCCACAGATAAAGGTGGCTGGATGAAAAATAAAATGGATTATTAGTTTATACAGAGTGTGGCATCAAGAATCAGTTACTCTGACAAAGGCAAATCTTCTGTGGAAATACATGCTAATGCTAAATACTGGCATGCTCTTTCTTTTTCAAAGAGTATGCAACAGCAACTTACAAAATGACTCACCTAAGTTATCGACGCTGCTTTAAGGATGGTAAAAATCAAACGGTTGGCAGAGTGGGAGTCTCCAAAAATACTTGAAAAATTAATTTCAAAATCTGCGGTTCTGCAAATTCCTGAAACTGGGCTGATTGAAAACCATGACTCTTCTCCATTGCAAAATCAATGTCAGAATGTATTGGATAATTACAGTACAAAAATATAGTTTCTGTGCAGCTAATATGTTGAATAAAAAAAGGATTTCTTTCTTTATTAAATAGAATCTTTCCAAATAAATAGCTGCACTGCAGGGCGGGAAGCGCAGCCAAACAGCGCCACCTTATGGGCATTCTCTTCCGAGGCTGCAGCTGCCGTGAGCTCGCTGGGTTTTGTCACCTGATTTGTTTCTCTAAAATATACATACATATGTGTGTGTATAAATACACCGCCGTGCCTTTTGAAATCTATCACTTGTAGAAAATGTAACGTGTTTCTTTTTTTTTTTTTTATTGGTCTTTCAGGCATCTGATGCCAGCTCTGAAAAACTGTTCAACGCTGTTACAAATAAAGGTAAGGCTGCAATTCGCATCACAAACATTTTTTTTTATTATTTTTTTTTTTTCCCCCCACACATTTCTTTTCATGGCAATTTCAATGGGAGATGAAATGTAACTTGTCTCGCAGAAATGTCGCAATCAGCTTGTTAGTGCTTTTTATGTTTCTCTTGGTTTCAGACATGTTCTGTATGCTTGGTAATTGCTTTGCTTAAGCAATATAAAATAAAGGCTTTAAATAATGCATTGCCTGCCAGGTCAGAATTAATTTAAATAACAATATTAGGGAATAGTTTATTTTACAAATGGCTTTAATTTAAGCTCATTTAAATAACTGTAAGAGTTTTCAAAATGTTTTAACTTGATTGTTACTCATCAGCTACATGATAGACGTGGAATTATGAATAGCCAATTTGCACTGCTGACAGTAATAACCAGCCAACGTTTAGTATTCACAGGATAATAGTCATAAACCATGGCTTACTGTGCTGTGTGCTTTCTGTAGAGTTAATAAATGATATAGAGGGCCACATTTAAATATTCAGTATCCCATTAATTTCTTCCAAACAGCAATCCAAAGAGAGAGAGGCTAATGATATAACAGTACATTAAGGGAAAACTTGCCCTAAATCAGTGCCAGGGAGCTTCTGTGCAGAGCGTGTCCCGAAGCAGTGTTATTAGAAAGATTGTAGGCTTTGGGGAGTTTTTATTTTTAAGTCTTATTTTTGGTTTGGATTGTGTGTTTGTGAGGAGGGTCGAGGGAGCGGCTCCAGGTGTGAGTTGCACCAACGGGTAGAATTCAAAGCCTTGAAAATGGGTGTTTTCCACCCCCTGTCCTGCTTCTCAGTGGCAGAGCATGAGAACTGCTTTGGTAGAAGGGGGTCCTCCCAGCTGGAAACCCACCGTGTGTGAACTTACTGCTTCTTTGGGAGCCTTTGGGTCAGTTTGCACTAGAAAAGACAGATTTGATTTATTTGGCATTTAGGTCTTTTTTTGTTTACTAAGTGTGGATTTGCTCAGTATGTGTCCTGTGCGCTTCTCACCGGGTTCGGGTTTGTTATTCCAGCGGGTCGTTCTGGTGTTTTCCATGTCTTTTAACTCCCCAAAGCTGTAGTGCTTTCACGGGGGACAGTGCGTGACCCCGTTCCGTTTGGGGTTCCCATGCTGGTACAACACTGCTTCCGAAATCTTGTGCTGCATATTGAATTATACCCGTATTTCATTGCGTTACGCGTCCCTATTCCTGGTTTTTGTGTGTTAGCATCCTCTAGCAGTACGCTCTGGCTGGATTATTTTTGCGGTCTGTCTGGGTTATCTCACTTGGCACCTTGATCCCTCCTTTATCTCTCCTCCTCTCCGGAGGACGGGTGGCTGGGACAAGTAGAAAGGAAGAGTTGTGTGTTTGGAGTGACCCAAGGCCCCCAAACTACATGTGACTGCATCTTTATTTTGCTAATTCGCTGTAAAAAGCTTTGGCATTTGAGCAGCCCTTTCTTGGGGCCGGGCCAGGGCGAGGAGAAGCCGGGATGGTGAATCCACATTCCTGGCCCAGGCCTGTAACCAGGGTGAGGGGCTCTCCTCCCCCCGGGGGGACCGATGAAGAGTAGGCCCCTCTTCCTCTTCCTTTCGTTTTCTTTCTTTCTTTCTTTCTTTTTTTTTTTCTTTTTTTGAATCAAACACATTTTCCACATTCTTATTTTTGTTTACTTACCGAGCTTGATTCGTGGCATCTATTTGGTTGTGAATGCCCGTGCTTGACAGGGACCCTTTTCTTCAGAGGTACTTTTCTTTGGTGATTTAGTTCCCTTGAAAGGATTAGGGTTTCTTTGTGTAGCCTAAAATCAACATGGGCTTTTCGAAGCTTTGCTTGGGAAACCGGAATCAAACACATTTCCCACATTCTTATTTTTGTTTACTTACCGAGCTTGATTCGTGGCATCTATTTGGTTGTGAATGCCCGTGCTTGACAGGGACCCTTTTCTTCAGAGGTACTTTTCTTTGGTGATTTAGTTCCCTTGAAAGGATTAGGGTTTCTTTGTGTAGCCTAAAATCAACATGGGCTTTTCGAAGCTTTGCTTGGGAAACCGTACACAAATAAGCTTTTTAGTTGATGGTAGATTATTCCTTTGCCCCTTATTTCCATCAAAATGGCGTCTTTCTTTTCTCCCCCTGAGTTTCCCTTAAAGCCATATGCTAATTCCTGTTGGTAACATGAATGACAAGGGGAGAATCAATGCAAATCCAGGTGCGGCCAAACTAGGCTGACTGGTATTTTCTTTTTTTTTTTTTTTTTTTCTTCTCTCCCCCCCCCTCTTTTTTTTTTCTCCACTGGGAGAAAGAGATTAAGGGAAAGAGGGCGGAAAAAGCATAGGGGACAGTTTTGTTAAAGGGATTAGCATTCAAACTACTAAATATCAGGAAAAGAGCCTCAAAAAAAGCTCCCCTGTTTGGAGATAATGTCAATAATTGCTTGCAGGCAGGTGCAGGGGCTCTGGCGGTGGTTGGGAGGCCGTTGCCTTCTCTAAGTGTCAACCCTGGGGACGTCCCACCACTGCCCGGGCGCCGTCAGGTTGATGGATTCTGAGTTCAAGTTCTCTCTCTGCCATTCAGTCTGGTTGCTTCCACGTCAGTTCTTACCCCCCAGCTGCGTTGTCCGTGGCTGCTTTTGCCAAAAGCAATAAAAGTCACTCGTTAGAAAGGTCAGATTTGCATTGGGTGAGTTGTGATGAAACCTTCAAAGCTCCTGGCTGATGGAGCGGGCTGGGCAGACCCACAAGTGGACACCCTCCTGTCCCCAGCCCTTCCTCTCCCGTGTCCCCCAGCAACCCCACGTTTCACATAGGCTTTTTTTTTTTCTCCTTGCCACTTTTATTTTGCAGAATTGTTTATAGCTGAGGTAGCAGAAATTACAGAATTTCTGTATTCACAAAGCAGGTAGAAATCCTCAAGCGCTTTACATCTTGTGTATAAATTTTTGTCCCCTTTCTGTGACTTAGTTGTGGACTTCAAGGCCAAAGATGAGATCAAGCTCAAGGTGTGGTGGATTATTATGGATGTGTAATGTGGAACGTTCCCTTCCTCAGAAATATTAATAATGAAAAAAATCTAGAGCAAAGTGAAATCCTCCCCAAACCTCCCTTGGAGAGGGGCTAAAACCTCTTGAGGAGACTCTCAACATCCATTTAGGAGTCACCTGCCCTTAGAGCTGAATGGGAAGATGCATCCCTAAATCTAGAAGGTTCCCGTGAGTTTTGGGGGGTGGCATGTGGATGATGGGGCCCCTGAGGGATGGGTTATGAGCCACGTGATGCCGCTTTGGAGAGGGCTGTGGGGTCCCCACGTCACCTCTATGTTGCCAGCGCTCCCGGAGGTCCCCAGCCCCGTGTGGTGTCTGCAGGAGGGCTGGGAGTTTGGGAGAGACCTGGCTTGGTCCCCAGGGCAGGAATCATTGGAGCTGCTGCCGAAATGAGTTCTCCCTGGCTGTGAATCAGAGCCCCGTGCTCCATCGCTGGGGTGGGAACACTTGAACTTGTCATGCTTAAAGTCATCTAGGGAAATGATTCCTGTGGAAATCCAGGTGGCTGTGTTGGGAGGGTCTGGGCCCATGGTAGTGCCTGAAAAAGGAGCTGTTAACATCTGAATAAATGAGATGGACAAGGGCTGGTGCCCGCCTGCAGCTCCTGGTTTGTCCCTTCCCTCCCTGCAGGCTGGGTCTTCCAGTTTGGGATTGCTCCTTGTGGTCTTTGTCCTTGAAAGAACGTAGCTTTCCCTCGCCCTCTGAGAGGCAAAGCAAAAATCCTGGCCAAAGTACAGGTTTTGTTCATGAATTTTTGTAACATGACTTTCCAGCATAATTAAATTCCATTATCTCTTAATAATTTAAATAGACACATCTGAAGCTGTAGAGCAGGCAGCTCCTACTACTTCTGTGTATTTCATTTATGTTAACTCCCTCCTACGTACCCTTGGAAAACAGCTTTTCCTGGAGGGAGAAATGAGTCCCAAAGTGATGAAGTTTTCATTTGTGCTGTATATTGAAGTTTGCCTTTGATCAGAAACACAATTGGGCTGTTACAGCTTTTTATGTTCAAATTGTTTACAGGATGTTCATGTAAACTTTATGAATCCTTCTGCTTCCTGGCACCACCAGCTGTCAGGGAAATATTTATACTCTCAGCTGGAGGCAGATCAAGGCGTCTGGGTTCCTAGTCCTCGCTGGTGGCTGAAATACCGGTCAGATCAAGCCCTGGCTTCTTAGGTGGTTCTGCAGCAATATCCTTCCCTAGAAAAACAGGCGTGTTGTTGTTTCTCCCCTCCTCTGTCTGTGGGGAATCATTTCTTGAGGATCCTCTGCGGCATCTGTTTCTGGAGCCGAGTAGGGAGCTGAAGTTGGCAAATACATCTCTGTGGATCCCGTTCACCAGAGATCCTTGGCTGTGGAGAGGTGCTCTCGCTCCCTCCCAGGAAACCATCCCCACAGCATCTCCTGTTGGACGTGAGTGGATCCAGTGCTACGTAGGTAGTGTTTGTGCAATGTGAACACAGTCGGTGGCCAGAGAACTGACTGCTGCTGCCTCCCTCCTTTCCAAGTGCCTGCAGGAATCCATACAGCATCCTCACTCACTCCCTCTATGTTCTCGACGTTGCTTTTGATTTTTTGGGGCGCTGCAGCCTGTGTATGTTGGTCCCACGTGCTACTTCTTCTCCTCGCTGAAATGCTTCTTCCCACCTCTGGAGGAATCCCAGTGCTGCAGGAAACCCACCCATTGGCCAGCAAACCTCAGCCACTGCTGAATCATACGAGCAGTTCTGCAGATATTTTGTGTGTGTGTGTGGTTGCCAGGATGGCTCACCCTCCTGAAGTGATGTCCTGAACGTGGTGTCTCCTTGCTTTTCTGATGGAGACTTCTCCGGTGGCTTTGGACCGCTTGGGTTGTCTGTGTTTTGTGGGTTTCAAATGGCTTTTCAGTATTTTCCGTGTGAAAGTTTGGTGTCTCATTAGTGAGGGACTGTGGT